ACTACAATGTACCTACAATGTATCTACAATGTATCTACAATGTCTCCACTAATCATACTTAGTATTTTATTTTGATTAGTCAGTAAAACAGGCTCAGAATCAAGATGGGGAAAAAAAACCCCAGACTTTACCTTCTGGATAAAAAGATGTATTCCAGTAAGCAGAAATTATTTTTAAAGCCATTTGTTGGCTAAGAGTAATAGCTGTACTGTACTGGGTGTATAGATTATGTGGATTTATTTCTGTCACTAGAAACTCTGACCCATGTAGACAGAATACCAACAGTATCGAATAAGCAATAGTAAAACCAGAGTCTGACCTCAGAAAGAAAGAGATGACTAGATCAATAGCAACCAGCAAATAAAGTGATTTCACAGGAAGGCTCTTGTAAGCAATAAAACAGATTTCAAAATACACTGAGGCCTGGCAGTTACAAACTGACACTCTGCCCACCAATGTGGGCTTAGTGGCCTTAAGTGGCCTTAGCCCATGGTATTTCCTAGGCAGTTGTGTATCAGAACAGGAGCTAGCAAGGCAGATCTTCTTGGCTGGAATGGATTAGAGAAGGATAACCACTTGTGATCCCACTAATCCCGTTCCAGTCTGTCTGGGGATTTTAGGCAAGCGAGCTGTGACAGAATGTTTGTTATCTGTGCACTTGCAATGTTGATCTCTCAGTTTCAGAGTTTGTTTAGCTTGGGGGTTTAATTACATATATAGATACACTTATTTTCAATGTTTACCTTTGGCTGTACTTTTCCTATACTTGCATAGTTGCCAGTGTTGCTAAAGCATTGTTGGCTCTTTGCTTGGAATTCTTACTAACTATAATTCATGACAATTTTTACATTGTGCTCCTTTTCTGATTTTATATTTTTCAAGGTGAGAATCCCTCTACTGATTTGCAAGACTCCTCTTGCTTTCTATTCCACCTTGACAGTTTCTAGAAGAGGAGACTTCTACATCTGCCAAGCTAAAGGAGGATTGTTCTGTGAAATTCTTAGTGTTGATAAGGTGAACATAGAAAATAAGTGAGACTTCTACCTCTTTTCATTAAAATTACATGCCAAGGGAGATGAAGCAAGTATTATTAGTAGTAAGAACATGGTATTATGAGAATTACTTGACATGCTGCCTTCCACAGAAACTTGGTTCTCTCTTCAGTCTGTGCAATGTTCAAAATATCTTCCCCATGAAAACTTTCATCATTCACCTGGTAACTTGTTCTGAAAGCCAATATAGAACTTTTTATTTTATCCAATTCACTTCATGTTATCAATATTGCAAATATGATGCAGCTGCTACAGCACATTGTTGTCCTCTCTGACCTGCAAACCAACCAAAACTTGGAGAGAAGTTATTCCAGTTGCTACTGAAAATGTGGTTACCTGTAAGAATGTGGAAAGACCTGAGCATAGAAATAATCAAACAGTTTTCCTGGTCACACTGCCAGCAGTTTTTCAAATGAGATCTTGTTACAAACACTGATAAGGTTTTTATGAGGCCATACTGTGCTTCTGTGTATTTTTCATTCATAGCTCTACTTTTTCACTAGAGCTGCTTCTCATCTACTCAGACTCCTCCTTGATTACAAAACAGTGCCTACCAAAACTTTCCTGAAGAAACACTGGCGAGGTGATTTAGTTTAATTTAGCTCAAGAGATACCTGGGTCTGTGTACCTATATGTCTAATAAAATACTATGGCATACAGAGAACAATAATACAGCCACAAAAATCAGCATGAAGTGTAACAAAACTATCTGCATTGAAACTTTTAGTAGAGGCTCTTCTATTGCTTACAAATTTCACATTAGCTCTTCTCTGTGTATGACCTGAACATTTGTGGCATCCCTCTGAGTATCCTGTGGGTGCCAAAATGTCATCAGATTATTAAAAGCAGAAAACATTTTTAACAACCTGTAGATCCATTTAGTTCCAATGTATTTCCCCTGGTAATGCATGTATAGAATTCTCTCCTGCAGACATGTTGCAACAGATAGTTAGCTTGCCTTTGTCATCACTTCTTTTGCATGTTTCAGATAGTGTGTAGTAATAATTAATACAATGTTTGAGAATGCAGAGAAAAACAGCAGGTTTGGATGTCATTTCTGGCTTCCTTAGAACTGGCAACTATGATTGCTAACTATGAGTAGTTGTGTCTGGAAAACTGACTTACATCTCTGAGAGGAAAGCAATACCTGAAACCCTAATCCTATAATGTGATGAGTGCTGTTTAGAACTAGACCTCCTCAAAATTATATAAGGAGATTTCTCAGAATTGAAGCCCCAACACCTGCAAGCCTCATACTAAATCTGAAATTCTGTTTTCATTTAAGCTCAGGCATGGTGCAAATTGCTCTAGAGTGTGATTTTCTCACAAACATCAGATCATCTTGAGAGATAGGGCAGAATCACAGCCACAGTTTGCAAAAGGTAAAAGGCAGCCTTGGGAAATTAACATTTATGTGTTTCAAATAGTTCATACTGCACCTGCTGTAGCACTAAGATTGAGGAACTTGTTGTTTGGTGAGAAATGTGAGTTCAGGTAAATTCAAATAGAAAACTGAACCTGGTCTCCCAAATCTGAGGTGAATAGCCTAATCACTGAGATTTTCAGATAAAATGACCTTCTTAAAATGCTTTGTGCTTCTTCTCCATTGATTTTATTATAAGTGCCTGCAAATTACCTATTGGACAGGGTAGGAAAGAACTCAGGATTTCATAATAAACAAATCTTTGCTTTTCATTGTGGAAGATACTGACTGAGATTGTTTTCCATTGATTTTTTTTTTGCTTGCTTTTAATACTTTCACATTGGAGATGGATAATCAGACTCACAAAATTGAGGCCATTTCCAAATTATGAATATGAAATTCAAATCAAGTCTTCATTTTAATTTTTTCTCCTTGATAAATGTTATTAGCCTTGGCTATGCAACTAACATTTTTTTAAGAGTTGCATCAGTTGTATAAAGAAATTTCTGTATCTAATTCCCTTACATATAATTTTTAATTCAAAATATGGTATTGAATAATTCTTGAAAAATACAAGTTAACACCATTATCCTTACTTAAAATTGAGTGGAATAGTTGATAATTTGGGAGGTGTTGCCAACTTTTCATTTTACAGAGACCCCATTGAAAATCAGTTCAGAAATACACTTTCAATTTAAATAATGCCAACTATGTTTGCAAATTATCATGTAAAATTACAAAAAGAAAGAGATAATGAGAGAAACACAAAGGACAGTGAAACAGGTAAGAGGACAGAGTGAAACCAGTGATAGAGACTGAGCTCCAGCCCTGAAATGACTGAGAGCATGGACAGCTGCTGTTTCTGGGTTATTCACCTTCAACACACCTGACTGGGAATGGATTCTGTACACATTACCTTAGCCTAAAATAAATTTATGAGATTTTGACATCAAATAATGAGAAGATTGGCTTTCTAATGAGAAGCAGAATCAACGTGGGGTTTTTTTCTAATGAAGATGAGAATTTGTAACTCTCCAGTATTGATTGCAGCCTTGAGCTCAGACAGAACAGCTTCCAGGAGTATTGGCTATACAGAGTAAGAGTATTTCTGCTGCTTTCCTGGCTTGAGTAATGAACTGAGTAAATGAAAACGTGCAAAGAGCAGAAATGATGGAAAGTAAACTTCACTGCATTTTATTCAGTTTAATAGGAGATTTTAAGTACTTTTATTCTAGGTGGTTGGACCCTTGCTTTTACAGAGCCCTCTCAGTCTTCCTGCTATGCAAGTGCAATGTCTAAATCTTGAAATCCTTATTCACTGATGTTTTCTTCTTCTGACTTCATAGCATAGTAAAGTGCCAACTTTATTCTACGTTGCTTAGATTTAAATGCAAGAAAGTCAGAAAGAGGAAAGATTTTTAAACTTCCAAAATGTACTAATGGTTGCTATGCCATTCTTCTAATATACATATTTCCATCTTAACCTATCAAGACAAAATGGGATTTTTAGGATTCAGATTGCACTGGAAACTATAGGAACAAGCATTGTGAACACACTAAGCTTTACAACAGAATTTTAGAAACTGAGAGAGTCTGAGCCTAGGAGGCAGTTTGTGCATCCACAGCTTGAGCAAGCGCAGTCCAGCAACAAAACCACATTAAAAATGAGACAGGGCAGCTTTAAGAGAGAGACAGGAAGCTGTAACTAGAATCCAGCTGAATTCTGAGCTGGGGCACTTTACCATGAGGCTGCAAATGAAACAGATGTGCTTGCTGTGAAATTCTGTGGTGTCTGCACTTTTTGTACCAAAGGTGATAAACGCTTTCCTTCCTGTGATTTTTTCTTTCTTTTATTTTGCACATCTTTGCCATAAAGGGAATGAAATGGAGAAGTTGAAGAAATATGTATCAGTGAAAGATGAAGATCAGTTTTATCATCAGGGAGCTGTGGAGCTGCTAGTCTTTAACTTTCTGCTCATTCTGACAATATTAACAATTTGGTTGTTTAAAAACCATCGATTCCGCTTTCTGCATGAAACTGGAGGAGCTATGCTTTATGGTGAGTATAAATTGAAGTGCCAGCATAACATAGGACTAGTTGCAGATTTATGCTCAGGCACTTGAGATCAAGTGCTGACAAAGCTCAGAAAATGTGCTGAATTAAATGTCATCAGCTCTGTAACTGTACAGTAAAATAATGTTAACAGCATCTCTCATGAAGGAGCTGGAGGCTGTTTTGGTGAGGGGGTGACTGTCATGGGCTGGTTATCCTCAGGTTGTGCCTGTTATGTTCCTCTATGGGCAAACAGCCACTGCACAACACTTTGGGATTTAGGGAGTTTACTGTTTACAAAAGAATGAAATGCCCTCAGTGACAGAGATGATTTAAATTTGCTTGTGTTTTTATAACCTTCAGAGGTGTTAGACTAAGGAGCCTTGTGGATACAGACATGTTGTCTAATAAAGTTTAAATGATCTTGAGACTTCTCTTTTGGCTTTCCTCTGGGCCTTTGAAAAACACACTAGGAAGAATGCCACTCAAATCATCTCTGAATGCTGTCATTGTACTGCAATTTCAGTTTGCCTATCTGGTTCTAATCTTCTTTGATGAAGTTTTGCCATGTTGCATATCACTTTCATGTAGAACTTTCTGCATTGTCCCCTAAGCACTCACTAGTTTAGTGATACACACTTGCATGTATAATGATTTCTCTTGTCATTCTCTTACTGCTGTTTCACTTTGAGAGACACGAGTGATTGTCATTGCTGCTGCCATAAAACACATACAGGAGGGTAATGCTGTCAAAATGGAAAATAGGTAATGACTGAGCAGTTCTGACACATCCTGTGCACACCACATACTCTAGCAGTGTAATACCCAAAACTCATTTTGCTAAGTTTGCATATTCTGAAGAATATTTGTTTATCATGGCACACCACATGCAAAAAACTATAGATGGAGTTTCACCTGCAAGCCTGCAACAGCAAAGGCAACTGACCCTACATTTTGAGATAAAAGTTTCTTTTTCTATGTCAAGCATTTTAAGGTGATGTCAGTACCACTGGAGGACTGAAACTGAAGATCAGTCTTCCTTGTATCCCTTACAAGGAATCTCCTTATTTTGCTTGATTAACCGTATGAAATTTCAAGAACACAGGCTATTTCACCTTCTTGGCTCACTGTCTTCACAAGTAACCTGATACTTTGAAGGAAAGCAAGTATAAAAGAAACTCTTGTATTAATCCAGTCACCAAGCCCCCAACACCTGAGTCTGTGGGATCTCTTCATTCTCAACTGCCTTGCCTGTATTTTAAAGCTGTGAAAAAGTGTTTATTTGATAATATACCTTTTTTCTAATCTTTAAACCTGTTGCACACAGAAAACACTTCAACTGAATCAGCTGAGACTGAAACACACATCACATGGTACTTTAATGCAATAGTTTTCGTTGTCAGACATCACCTGGATTGTTGTTCTAAAAGTTTTACCAGATACAAGGCACATAATACTGAGAATACATTTGCTTGTTGCATTTCTGTTAGCATTTTTCAAAAGGAAAACCATGCAATATATTCATTATGATCAACTTGCAAATTGCAACCATGTTTTTCTAAATATATGGTGGATTTACTATAGTAGCTTTCTTTACACTATTGTGCTGCTTCTCATGTGCAGCTGATGACATTTGTTGAAGACTGAGACAAAAGCCTATCAAAACAGAAATGAAATATGTGGGAATACATCATAACACAAATAAATCAGTATTTAGTTAGAGTTTTATCTGTCCTCTGGTTCTGTTTTGATGCCTGCCCAGAACATACTCTGCACATCATGACAATAACCTACTCATATTCTTTTGATGAGTTCAGAGATTAGTGCAGGACAGAGCTTTTGAATTATTAAAGCATTCATGAACACTGCTTATGCTTGTAAATAAACTATCTATTTAGTCTTGCATTATTTATGGCAATCATTAAACAGGGGGAAAAACTTATTTATAGGATGCAAAAAGCTGCTAATGTCTTTTTCATCCTTCAAAATTTTGGATATGGGTTTCGTTATCTTTAGCATTGTGAAATAGCAATAATGAAAAGAAAGCAAAATTTCAGAGGTCATGACAGAGGTGTCAGATCAACAGGCAGCAACTTTGGGAGAAAATCTTCATGGCACCAGGCACCAACAATGGGCTAGGTCCTGCTTCACTTTTTGCCTTCCCTATCCAAATGTTCTACTTTATACATGTTCTGAACAAACCAAAAGTCTCAGCCCTGCAGTTTTGCAGCCCATCAAGCTGTTTATTAGATATGTGAAGAGCAATACAAGAAACTGATAATTTGGCCTCAAGTGACAGAAAAATAGGGTCACTTCCTGCAGACTGTGTGCCACAGCATGGCAGATGGGTCTGTATTCCTCAGCAAGACAGTGTGCCATTGGGGTGTAGCAGTGAAGGGAGAGAGAAAGCAAAGTGTGAGGAAGACCAGGGGAAAAAACTAAACACAGAAATACAAAAACAGGAAGTTATACAGCTACTACAAAGTGCTGAACAGCCACAAATTGAACAGAGCCTGATAGAAAGTTCTATTTAAAGTACAGAACAAATACAAGGGTGGTTTAGCTCTTTTTTTTTTTATAAGCTCTGTAGGAACATGCACTTTTAGGCTGAATAGTTCAAGCTTAAAAAAAACAACAAAACAAACAAAGGCCATACTGGAAAACTGTCCATTAACAAACTTGAAAAAAACTGAGGTATATTAGTTTTATTTTTTATCAAAGTATTGGATCAATACTGAGTACAGCTACAGTTAATTTTAAAATCTGCACTTAGGAAGAAAAAAACCAAAGCATTTAGCATCACCCACAATTAATTCACAAGAATTAATTCAACAGGAATTCAACATTGTTTCACCAAAAAAAAAAATAGGTGTACAGAGATGTATATATATATATTGCAAGGAATTAAGCTTGAAAGTATTTAAAGACTCAAATTATTTTGTTTGTTGTGACACCAAACTGAAATAGCACTCACAATGAGGAAGAATGCAGATTTACCTCTTTATTCATTCATTCCTTTTTTTTCCTGTATCCCAGAGAGCAAGTGACTCTGCATACTGTAGTTTGGTTTGCTGAACAGACCCCAAATAATAAACTCAACTTGCTTCCTGATTTCTGGATACCAAGGAAGCAGGTGGATATGAAAAATAACTTTGTGCCACCCAGAAAGGGACAAGCTTCTTTTATATGCATTATCAGCACAGTTTCCTATACAACAGCAGAGTCAGAAATCATATAGTAGATTATCTCCACGAGCACTAGTGAAAACACAATGCCACATCTCTCAGATCAGAGTAGGTGACCCTTCTCAGCACCACACCCCAGGAAGAACTTGTCTTAGTACTAGACAAGAGACAATTGGCCAACAAAAGACTAAAGTGCCTGTAGCCAGCTCCTGTAGGGCCTTGGTCTCTTCAGACACCTCAACCATAAAACATTAGGTGCAAAATTCCTCATATAAAATGTAAGTCATGGCCCTTCTTATTAGTGGGCTACATAATGAAAAACTGAGTATCCAAATTCCTCATCCTGCCCAGGTATTTAGGTATCAAGCCCACACAGAGGTGCCACCACTCATCTCAAATTAAGAGGCTAAAACACTCTTGTAGGTTGGCAGTCAGATGTGAATGAAACAAAAGAAAACAAAACACAACAGACAGAAAGAAAAAACTAAACCCACCACCAACACAATCTGTGCCTTTTATCTGTGAGGCTGATTAGCAAATTTGGTTGAAATTGTTTTCAGTTTGAGTATTTGTCACCCCTAAGGAGTGTGTGATACCCATTAAGTGGAGGTGAGGCTGATTGGAGAGGGACCTGCCTTTAAAGTTATGCTCCATGGGATTAGCTGACCAGACTGGAAGGGAAGCATAGAAAGGTTGAAGGACAGGAGAACCATTGTAATGCTCACATGAAATGTCTTTGTGTTGCAGTGCTTAGAGAGGCTTCCCCAAGTTTTGAGGGGAAAGTTTTTGGCAGATGAGCAGTGGGAAATCTGACTTACAGTAGCCCCTTCTGAGATCCCATGTAGTGTGTTTGGAAGTGAGGCACAACTTGTTCTCAGTTCAGCTTTGGTGGAGTTGTCTAATGTTTAGGCAATATGACTTTTACACCTTCTAAATCCAGTATGCCTCTTGTGTGAAATAATTCTGATGGTGTGCTCTGAGTACCCCTGGTTTTCAAATGCAGCAATGGATATAGAAAGTCCCAGAAAAAGGATTCTGAGTACCCCTGATTTTCAAATGCAGCGATGGATATAGAAAGTCCCAGAAAAAGGAATCTCTAGACCTCAGTAAAATAGAGTGCTTCATTCTCATCCTGATTTCAACATTCATGGTGAAGGATTGCCAAGATTCAGAAGACAGCATGGGAAAATCATGACCAAGGCAGAAACTGACATTTTGTAGTGGTTAGGTTAAGACTGGAATATCATTCTTGAGGCAAACAAAGAAATTTGAAAGACAATCTAAAATATTCTGGAAAATCAAGTAATGACTAAAATTGCATCCCTGAGTATCATTATTAAGTTGTTTAACAGCTGACTAGATAAAATCCCGGGGAGAGAACAGTCCCATTTAGCTCAGGAGTTTGGCATGAGTGAGTTAAGAAATCCCTTCCAATGATCTCATTTACAACAGAGGATTTTATCCTGCTTCTACTGAAGAAGCTGGAAAACCTGCATTGCATTCAGTTGAAACAGGACTGAGCTGTAGTTAGAGTGAGATTTTGCTGCCAGATCTTCCAAAGACAACTGAGACTTTTTAAAAGAAATTTGTAGCCTTGGTTACACTCTCTTCTATTTCATGGCTGCATTTTAATAAATGTGCTTACAACATGAATTGAATGAAACCTTGGTGCTACTTTTGAAGGAAAAGATCTTAACAGGAATCTGAGCTGAAAACATTTATAATTAGATTACCTAGAATGCAAGATAGGTACTCTGTGCTGGTACACTCAAGTTGTGCCTTGCATAAGAGATTGCATTTACATCCTTAACTGATGCAATACTATTAGAAACTTTTTTATTTGTGCTAACAAGTACCTTAGTATAATATCTACTTCTGATTTCATCCCTGACTCATCTTCAGGGAGTTTTAACTGCTGAATTTCTAAACCTACATGGTAAAGCCAAGCTTTCTGTGTGTGCCACTTGAAATCAGAACTAGTTGTAAATTCTTTATTTTATTTTATTTGAACACAACCAAGTCCATCGAACTTTGTGAGAAAATTTTCAAGTTAATTTTTTCTGCCGTGAAACATTGATTGCAAAGAGACTGTGAGTTAATGGACTTTTTTTTTCATGTTAGATAAACCCAAATTATATTTCCCATTTTTTTTCTTTAACAAACTGTAAAGAGTGTTCCAGAAGATACATTACAAAAGCAGGACTCCAGATTGAAAGGGGGAGTAGTGCAGAGTACATTCTACAGCTATTTAAAAATTAATTATTTCTATCAGAATATGATCTGGACTCTGAATTCTGTCCTGAAATGAATGTTATATAAGGACATTAAGTAGAAAGTGCATTCCATAAATGATGCACTTACTAAAATATTAAATACACTCTTCCCCAATTTTTAATTCCCTGGAGATTTTATATAGGGTCTTTGGCACGTTTATTATTACTGAAGGAAGAATACAATCCCATCACTCACATTGGCTCTTGCCATATAGTGTGGTGGTAGCAATTGTCTTCATCTGAACCTTCCCTAGAGCATTTGAGAATACTCTGAATCAACCCATCAATATGGATCCTCTCTGCATTTTGTTCAAGTTATTATATTACAGCATTTCCTTGAGAGTTACAAGGACCTTAAAGCCCCACTGAAGCCCTGAGAATATCAATTGTTACCATCTTCTCTAATGTTATTTCTCCACTATGTGGATGCTGCTGGATACTCTCACAATTTCCTTGCTGTTTCATTCTCATTCCATTATTTGTGTGGGTCTGTACATCACCTGCATCTGGACTCCATCAGAGGGTAAGATGGAAAGCTGCTAGAAGGAAACCCAAACTTGAATTCCAGTTGTAAATCTCAGTGCTGATCATTATTTCTCTCCAGCTACTGGGCTCATATTTTTTAAATATTCCTTTTCTGCAAATGGATTTATTTATACTCAAGAACTGCCTAGCAGGGCTAGGATCTGGATGTTTGCACTTGTTGCCATGCAAGAAAATTCCTACAGAGGCAGGTTGAGATGACAGCTGAAGATAACATTTCTTCTCAGAATACAGAGTAAGAACAGTCCTCTACTCCTGGTCTAAATTTCATACATGGGTTGAAATAATTTGCCCTAGAACAATTCAGTTCAATTTCATAAGTATAATTAAGAACACGTTTCAATTTTTAAAACAATCAAATGGAATTTGGTTCAAAGCAAGTGCTGTATTAGCCAATGTAACACACCTACTAAGAATCTGGGAATGCTGTAGGACACAGTTGTCCACCTGACTCTACAACAGAGACAGTAAAGGCAATGTCACCAGTCTCCACTGATCTCCCTTGAGCAGTTTTGTGTTGCCATTCTCAAAGTTACTGTGTGTACAAGCCACATGAACAGTTAAACTCCAAAGGCTAAAAAATAAATCAGAAGAACTCTGAACAGTAGGACCTGACCACTTATTTTTGAAATCACTTGAGTGTTTTTAGCTCATCATTCATGATTTTTGAGCTGTCAGTTAAAAAATAATACTTTTGGAAGACATAGTGTGAGGGTATAGGTAAAACTCTCCAGAAAACAGCAGGGTAATGTGACAGATGCTGTAAACCAGCAGGTAAATGTTAGAGCCAGGAAATGCAGCAAGACAAGAACTTGGCAACCACAGAAGAGTCATGTCTGGGACACAGAATGAGGGATATACAGGGAATTTGGTAAGCAGACAGGGAAAATGCAGAAGGAAAGGGAAGGGTGAACAGGTTGTAAGGGCACATTCATCTTACCACTTTTTTCTCCTGCCTGTTCAAAACCTATTCCACCATGTGACCTGATACTGATTGTAGAAAACTGTTGCCAAATATTCCTGTTCTTGAATACTCTTTTTGCCAATGTCCTTGTGCAGGCATTGGTGAATGTCTGCAAAATATTTCTGTTACTGGAGCTGGTTAAGTCTATGTAATACCATAGGCCATAGTTTGAAACATCAAGTTATAAGAACAATAATGGTAAAGGAAAACCTAAAAGTTTTCTGTTCCACAGAACAAGAAGGAGACATCAAGTCTTGTCCAAGAATCAAACGAAGTTGAATTTTTAATGTATTTGAAATTGAATTTGAAAATTAAATATGTGGTTCTTCCAGAGGAAATCTAATAAAGACAAGATTAAAACCCTGATTGTTTTAGTTAATGGTTTCCTGGGTTCTGATTCATGAGTTTGGACATCTGAGCTGACCACTGTAGAGTCATATTTCATAATAACATGTGCAGTGCTTGCTTTGGTTTTGCCATACATGCTTTCCCCTAAAACTTTGAGGAACTGTCTTTTAATACAGCTAGATTTATTATCTGATTTATTGCACAAATGCTGTGTAACTTAAGCAAATGGTCTTGGGTTTTTCTACAGCTTATCGAAATCCTCAAGAAACCAACTGTACTAAACAACAGATACAAAAGAAGCACAAATGCATACACATACTAAAGCAAGGCAGCTGTTACTTGGGTGTAGCATCAGTCCAAGAAGCTGCATTACATGTGTGCTACAAATTTGCAGTTCAGAGTCTCTGTCATGAGAAAACGTGACAATAGCAAAGACATCCTATTTATCTCTCTAGGCCTTTATGATCACTTTTATCACCGTGGCATTGGATTACAGGATAAAACTTCAGCTGTAACATCCTATTTTTCAGATGCTTATCAGCCAGTTCCTGCAATTTAATTTCATTCTTTCTTATCTTTCATGAGTAAGTATCTCTGTTTGGATATTTAGATGTCTTCCATCAACACTTAATCTGAGTGTTCTTAGCCTTTTACCAATGTGTTCATAATTAGTAATGGTAAAGCTGTTCCTCCTATCCATGGGACTTAAAGCACATAGGACATAAAAGAAGCATGGAAATTAAATTTGAAAACAAATCCATGTCTCTGAGGGTGGAAATAATCTTGGTAATGTTATCTAACTAAATATTAGTCACTTTTCCTGAAGTAAACATGCAAGCTCCCAGTAGAGTCAACCAGAAGAAGTGTCCCTTCCAGTGAATGGTTGCAGAAGTACATTTTCCTTTCTGTTAAATATAAAGGAGACAAAATGTCTGTCTTAGGTAAAAGCTCTATATTGTAAATAGTCAAATTAATTAATCCCAGTCTTATCTTCCTTCCCTTCTTCCTGCTTTTATTTTCCTATGCTTTGACTGTCTCAAAAATACAGTCTTCTACTGTAAGCACAATGTGCCTGAGAATGTGTCAGAGTTTTGTCCCCATGAATGAGTGTGTAAAATCCCCAAGATTTTACAAGCTAATGTTTGTATGCTCAGTACAGCACAGGAGTTCTGCAGGCATCTCCCTGCTCTAAATATCTACTGAAAATGCAGTGGATGAGAAACTCAGCTAATAACTACTCCAGAAACTGCATCATAAAAATAGGAGGAAAACTGCACATATGTCAAACCAACATCTGCATTCTAAAGAAATGACTATTTTTTGGTTCAAAAATAATTTATGGTCATCCATGAAGTGTTGAGACGTGTACGTCTGTGCAGGTGGAAACAATGAGGTGGTGTCCAAGCTTTGACAGAGTTCATTTTCCTCTATATTAGTTATTGTGTGGCATCAAATACATAAAAGTACTTGAATCTCTTTCATTTTTTTCTGTTTCTCTTTTTTTTCTTTGCTCTCCAGGCCTTGTAATGGGATTAATTATAAAATATGCGACAAAAGCATCAGATGATGAAAGTGGAACCGTTTATGAATGTGAAAAGCTGAAATCTGGGCCATCCACTCTGCTTATTAATATAACTAATCAGGTCTATGAATATCAGTACAAAAGAGAGATCAGCCACCACAATGTCAATGGTCACCAGGGCAACGCAATCCTTCAGAAGGTAAAAACCATCTTATTCTTGTGTTAAACTGTGTAAGATATTTATTTTATTTTCACCCTTGAGAGAGGAAAAGAAGTTTCAAGTCCAAATGTGACACAGGGAGAGAGAGGCTATTCTGAATTTTGGGTGAGGAAGGAGAACAGTAAAGGGAATAAGGTGCAGCAGAAACCTGACCATCATTTAGCTCTCAGCTGATTGTGTGCTTGCAGAATAGTTGCATGAACTGTTTTATAACAGTCCCAGCTCCTGCACAGACCAAGTTCATTGCAGACACATCTATTAACTTAGATTCATTGCCACTAAACTTTTTTAAGCCCCACTGATATCATTATTCATCCTCTATCCTAAAAAAGACTTGCTCTGGCAGCAGAATGCAAGGGAGGATATCTCCTGTGTACAGCTCAGGTAACCACAAACTCAATATTTTTCAAAACAGAAACTTGTAAAAATGTTAACTTACACAGGAGAATGGGGTTTTTATAACTCTTAAATGCATGACAACATTCTCATCCATTCTTTCACTCCTGCAATGGTCCTTAGCAGGGACCTGGCTGTTCCAAACTTGGAGATACAGCATTGTGGCAACACAGGCTGAATGCAGAAAGGGAAGTGTGGGAGGAAGTTTATAGACTTTCACAAAGTCATGGCCTGTTCTGTTTTCCAGTATATAACAATTAAAATATTTTTCTTTGTTCATATATTCTTTCCCCACCCATGTAATATTTACTTCTTATAATGTTCTCTTTCTTTAAAAAAGTGGCAGGGATTTGAAGAACTCTTGAGTGCAGAAGGACTGTTTAAAACCTGGATTTTGTGCTCAAAGGCATTGCATGTTCACATGAAGCTTCTAAGCCCCTACCAGTGGCTTCTTACAATATTGCAATATATAGTTTTGCTTTTTTTCCCCAAGTATTGTTTGTCTAGCACAGTAAGGCATGTTCCTGTGTATTATAGCAGTAATCAGTATCAAAACTTCTAAATTACACTTAGAATGTACACTGGGGAGCTCAGCAGAATTAGGATTTAACCATCTGCTCAATTTTTTTGCTGATGCAGCACCACTGTGTGCCTGTCTGCTCTTACTGCTGGACTTGCCCTTCTCAGAAAGAACTGTCCTTCACCCTTTTTCCTGCCAGTTTGTGGCAAGAGGTTTGTCTTAGTCTAAGTGTGTGTTTAGTTTCCAAGGCATATGTACCAATCCACTACATTTGATTATGTTCAACAAATCTGGCACACTGAAGCTGACCTGTGTGATGAGAAAGGAGGAACAATAACTTGCACAGAAGTTTGTGCTGCCCTTACAGGGGATTGCCCAGTCTTCTTTCCATAATCTCACTTTGCTGGAAGGTTCTTAAAAGTCTCAACTGTGAATTGTGGTTTTCTCTGTATTACTGGAGAGGCCTCAGTCTGTCTGGATTTTCTCTTCTTTTTCCTTTAAAATTATCTGGCAAATGCCCTCTTGAAAAGAAAATAGATAAAAAAGGGAAAAGGGAGAAATTCAGCCACATTTAGGAGACAACAATGCCTGGCAGCATTCCTGACTGGTAAAAGCACTAGCATGGAAACCAGAAAGCATGATCACACCATGTTCTGGGTTTGTACAACTGCAGTTCCCTTCTGACTGCACTAAAAGCATTTACTTGGTGCATTTATCAGAAGGAAGAGATTATGCCATGACTTACAAACTTGTATTCTTTAGCACATGGTTTGGAATAATAAAACATGCAGTCAGGATTTTTGATGCCTGTGGAAAAGCTATTTGAACATATTTGCTGAATTAATTCCAGAATTAACCTTTGAGTCTGTTAGTTCATAAGTGAAGAAAATCCTTTTTCTGTCATGTTTTCAGTGAAGGTACCAGTGCAGCTAACATCACTGGCAGGTTATTTGCCAGTTCACTTTTTTCAGCTTTAGAATTCAAAGTAAGCAGGATGGAAAAAAGTGTCAGCTCTCACTTCCTGTTTATCAAATCAAGCTGTCTGTTAGGAAGAAGACAGAAGCAATTTTGTAGGCAGGTCTTACTCTTGAGAAGCTAAATAAGTAATCTAAAATATTGTAGCCATAAAATATGGCTTTATCTGAACTAAAGACATTCAAGCCTTCGTTCTAATTACCTGCTGTCTCTTTTGAAAGTATTGATGTAATAATATAGCCCATGGCAGAGCAGTAAGCTGTACACAGGCTTATTAAAGTTTTTTTTTCTCCAGCAATGCTGTGCTTTCAAAGAGGATTCTGTTTTAATTGAAAGCAACTTGTAATGAGTCACAATGGCTGAACATTGGCCTTGGTCTCTCTCTGTGCCTGAAGTTGAAGGAGAATATGAAGAGTGTACTGACAACTGAGAACAGCTGGAATAAGAACTTTTTGTCTCACCTAACTTCATCCTCATGCTGGCATTCATTTTATAATAGGGTATTTTATAAAGAGTTTCCTTTAAAGGAAACATTATGTGGGTTTTGGTAGTGAGGCCTTTTCTTTTGTCCCCATTCTGTACATGGGGAATTGAGGCACAAACACTGCTGATGTGTCTTTCCTGAAACTGAACAAGAAGGAGGTCCATGTTTGAACCAGAAATTAAGCCATGGGACTGTCAAGTTGGGTGTCTGGTAGTGCAGCTACTGTCACAGGAAACACTGCCTGTATGTGTTCCCTGTAAAATAGCACATGACTGATTTCCTTCTTTGAGGAATGCTTTTCAAGTAGTATTTTACATCTATAAGCTGTAAGGAACTACATGTTTCTTAATTAAGAAAACCACTCAGAATAACATCCTCAGACATTGAAGGTGATCCTGAGCTCAATCCTGAGAAAAAATTACAATTGAAACCTATCCTATCAAATTAAATGTTACTGTATTTGTCCTTACTGTCTCTTTTGTACTTTCTGGCAGATGACATTTGATCCTTCCATCTTCTTCAATATTTTGCTGCCACCCATTATATTCCATGCTGGATATAGTTTAAAGAAGGTATGTGTCTCTTTCTTGTCTGACAGAAGGGACTGAATGTGAGTGCTGCTCTGTAGATCCATCAGGCCAGAGACAGAGGGGAGAGTCAGTTAACAATTACATTGCAGGGGCAAAACTTAAGAGGGATGGACAAAATGAGAGCTGCATGGCCCTTGTTCTGCTCCCTTTCTGCCTTGTGCAAAGACCTGATTGTGCAGTTTATAGCACTTGGGCCTTCCTGTTTCTCAGAGAGACCATTTCAAATCTGGTGACACTGCAGGCAGCACATGTTGCTTGATCAAGACTTTGTTCAAGGGGTAGGGTTATAATACTGTTTGCATCAGCTACTTTCAATGTGGACTCCTATTATGATCCTGATGCTTTTTTCCAGATACTTGAAAGAGGGAATTTTGATGGCATTCCACCAGGCAAAAAATTAAACCTATTAAATTGTATTTTCCAGAATAACTGAGGTAGCCTATATTGCTTCATCTTATATTGAGATACGTGTTGTAACAAATGGCACTTCTAGATGGAGTGTTTCAACTTGATCTGAATACTCAATTACTGTTTTGCAAAAGACATTTTTTCAAATTTCCCTCCCCAGAGACATTTTTTCCGTAACTTAGGATCGATTTTAACCTATGCCTTTTTGGGAACTGCCATCTCCTGCATCATCATAGGGTAAGTGAAAGCCTTCTTCTATTATCTTGTATTTTTTTCAATTAAAAACTGAACTGTAAAAAAAAAATTGGAAACCCCATGGTCAGTATACTCAGCAACTTATGTAACAGATAGAGTCATTCCTTATCAGGGAATGCTGAGATGGAAAAGGCAAAACTCTTGGATAGCAAGAAATGTCCCAGGCATTCAGAAAATTGTGTCCTTCATTTCTGGTCTATGAGTGGTGTAAGCAAGAACTGCCTTCTATAATTCTATAGCTTTAACCCTCTCTCCTGGGAAAAAGAACCATTCTCTCAAATGAAATTCCATGCTTCTAACCACAATTCCTTCTAGAGTAGTGCAGCTCTAACAGAAAAGGAAGGACTTTAAATCTCAAAGGAGATAGGAACAGATACATAATGGAATATATGCAAAATAACTGGAGTCATTTCAAAGGCCAAGTGAAACTTTTTAGCTGATCACATGAAAAGCAGCAGGCTGTGAATTTAGCCTGGATGTGACCAAATGGCTTCTGTAGAAAAAGAGGAAGGAAAAAACCCCAGAGGATAAAAAGTCCTGGTTTATTTCCCTACCTCCTTACTAAAAAATTTCTAATTTTATTTCAAAATTTTCCCAATTAAAGAAAACATTTGCTAGTCAGAAGTTATTTGTATGTATCCAGGCTGGCATGGAGTGAAACTTCTGTTTGTCTGTTTGATTGTCTCAATCAAAATGAAACACATTAAAAATCAAATCCAAAAATCATTTTGGATCTTAAAAGTTCAAGGGTTTCACAATAGTTATGAATATCACAATGACACTTCAGCTCTCATGTTCTGGGAAAATTGCTGATGCAGCTGAAAATAAATGACCAGAGTTAGATTGAGCAGTGATAAGGACTCTGTGCCTGCACAGAGACTTTACTGAGAGAAGCAGTGCACTGTTCACAGTCTAACCTGAGCATCATTTGGCATCCCCTGGTATTTCTGTGCTACAGGATGGTACAGAGACAGCTGAGTTAGCTCAGTCTGTATGGCCTGGAGAGGTGATGGAGCAGTGCTGCATGGAAGTGAGTAAGTCTTGCTGAGAGACCTTGATCTGCAGAGTTAAAATGGCAAAAATTCACAGAACTCTCTGGGGTTCAGGCTTTAGACTAGGAAGCACACTGTGCCTTGTAGGCCTTGTTTGAGGGCCTTGGCTGTAGAACTCTGAAATGGATCATTTGCATCTCTGCATGATATGGAAAGATATGAAAACACTTCAGGTTTTGTGAGGGTGTTTGAATTTAAAACTGGTCACAATTCTGTACCTATGAACAGCACTTTAAAATTATAGAAGCAGTTAATTTTTTTAATGTTTGTCTTTCCCTTTATAGTAAAGATGTGTGTGCTGCATCAGGGTATAAGGTCGCTTCTGGCCTTATTATGAGATGTAACTTTCTACTTTAATGTCATTTTAATAATAGTAAAGCACATGAATGACCTGTAACTTAGAGTTCAATGATTTTAAAACCATTTTTAATGGGTATGTCACCATATCTATCCTGACATCCTAGATTCTTAATAATCAAGTAGCTTAGTAAGCATAATGCACCTGAGGCATTGTGGTATTAAATGCTCTGCAATCTGTGGTCACTCCAAATGTCAGGAAATTTTAGACTCCACAATGAAAAGTGACATTCAAAGTATGATCAGCTTCTGTGCTGAAATACAAGGGAGTGTAAGCTCTTTATGTGGCTCTTTCCCCTGCCTGTAAGAAAACCCACTGAAGATCTATGGGTTAGGGAGAAAGGATAACTTTGTTTTCAGACACAAATCTGTAACTGCAGGAGGCATTGTGACTTGTCTCACCTATTGGAGAGGAAAAGCTTAATCTTGCTTTTCTTTCTGAAATTTTGCTTTCCTTGAGAAATGGCAGCTCATCACAGCTTGAAGATCACAACTTGGTCAGCTACACCACTCACATTTTCCTTCATCTCTACTTACAGTAATACATACCTCCCTATAACCCTAGCTCTTGGAATTGTTTCTTTTCAATATATGGCCAATAGCACCCCTATGGTTGAAATTATAAATTCAGTAAAAAAATCTACATTCTGGCAACACTTCAAGCTGAATAGTAGCACATTACTAAGCTAACAGTGGATCTGGATCTCAGCAGGACTTTTCCTGTAGTTTATCTCACATGTCTCAGCTATTGAGCATTTCTCCTGTAAACCAATTGCCAATAGCTCTGTGAGGCTACAGGAAAGCAGTAAGGCTGTCCAGCCCAGTGATGCTCTTAAACATGCATTTGTTAATGGGCTCTGACCTGTGTCATTGACCTTTGCAAATGGAAAATGCCAGAGCAACTTTGATAAGATTGTTAAAAGAAACCTAAGATATTGAGTTTAGCCTATATTGCAAATATTTTGACTCCTGTATCCCTGTTATTTTATCTAAAACAGAATCCATGCAGATAGAATCTACTACAGAAAGTTTCTACTGGGAACAATTCCTACTAGCAATTCAAAGTTCAAGTCCAAAGTTAGGGGATAAAGATCCAAAGGCAACATTAAGGCAGAGAAGGGGAAGAACTGGGCCTTGCACTGTGTTCTGTACAAACCCATATCCCTCACTGGAATCACTGCAGAGCAGACAGTAATATATTCAGAGCAGGGCTTATGTGAATATGAAACATTCTTGCATAATGTACATGGCAGGATAAGAAGGAGATAATGAGTACATGAAGAAGAAAGGTAATATAAAAGCTTTCCTGAAGGGAATGAAAAAGAAGTCCTAAAAGCAAAACACATCCTGAGAGAGAAGGGATGAAGAACTGCAGCTGTTACAAAAGAAAGGACAGAACCCTGAGATACTTGTAGGTTGCATTGCTGTAGACAAATATTTTATGCATAGGTATGATGAAACATGTGCTTATTTTTTTTATATATGCACAACACATCCATGTACAGTACCCCAATATCCATAGGCTCTTGCTGGGACTGTGCTGCCTGAGTTCCAGAGCTCCCTGTGTGAACCCTCCAGGGAGGCTTGTGGTAGTGACAGGGCACAGTCTGGAACAAAGAAGGACCAGACCTCTCTTTGTCAACCAGAAACAGCTGGGAAATATCATTAGTAAATAGCAGAAACATTATTGGGATTGCTGCAAACTCTTTGAGTGTTAAAACGTTGCCATGGAACACACTGGTACAATGGTGCCTGTCTCCTCTTTGTGAATCTTTGCTTTTGTGTGAAAGGCCTTAAGAAAGTGGAGCTGTGTGAAATTTGAGTGAAAAGGCTATAATCAGATATTCCCACTGAGGGCAGAGGAAGGAGGGGTAAAAGGAATTGCTCTTTTTAGTGAAGGCAGTGCTGAAACATAATTGCTTTCAGCTAAATAATGCTCTAAGAAATGCTTGCCCTCGTTAGCTGTAAGGCTGTCCTCAGCCACTTAACACACATGCAAGTTATAGTCATTCCCAAGTTCTCCCAGCAAGGTGAAATTATGTCCTTTGCACAAAGTCTGACTAGCAAGGATCCATGCAGAGAGAACCCACAAGGGAAAGGAGAAATTTCTCCAATCCAAGCCCTGTCAACTTTGCAGAATTCTTGAAGTTGTCCCCCTCATGGTGAACAGAGTCTGAAGACTCTGGGTCTGCACGATGTAAAATTCAGTCTCTCAACAGAATTTTTTCTCTGCCAGTGGTTCCATCTTCCTGTCTCCTGAAGAATAGTGTGGGATGATCAGTGAGATAGCTCTTTATTCCTAAGAAAAACCATACAGGCCAAGTCTCTTGCTGAGGCAGACTGCTTGAGTTTCATAGACTCAAAGAATAATTTAGGTTGAAAGCAATGTCTGAATGTCTGCAGTCCAACCTCCTAACAAATGCATGACTGGCTCCAGATTTAAATCCAGGTGCTCAGGGCCCTGTCCAGCCAATTTTTAAGCATCTCCAAGAATGTGATTTCTACTGGGTCTCCACATAGTCTGTTCCAGGCTTAACTACACTTAACTGCAAAGACTGGGGTTTTTTGCATATCCATTTGGAATTTTCCTTGCTTCACTTTGTAACCTTGGTCTCCCATCTTTTCCCTATGCAACCCTCAGAAGGTGGCTTCATCTTCTGTACAACCACCTGAAGACAGCAGTTAGGTCCCCTCAAAGCTCAGCTGCTGTCTCTTCTCATACTCTTCTCATTCTCTTCTGAATTATCTTGGTGGTTCTCTGCTGAACTGTCTCCTATTGGTCTTCCCTGTACTGGAGGTCCAAAACTAAACACTTTATTCCAGGTGCCACCTCACAAATGCCAACAAAATACTTAATGGCTTCTCTTGATTTGCTCACTGTGCTTCCGTGAGCAAAATGTGGTTTGCAGTTACCTTGTGAATTCCACTTCTGACTCGTGCTCAACTTCATATCCTCCAGGACCTCAGGGTTTTCTGCACATAGCTATGTAGCCAGTCATGCTCCTCTGGAAATGTTGCATGGGGCTATTTCATTTTTTCCATATGTACCTTGATATTAGTTGTGTATTATGACTGATTGTAAGCTGAAAATTTTTTCCATATGTACCTCGATATTAGCTGTGTATTATGACTGATTGTAAGCTGAAGCAGCTCTGAGCTGATGCTACTCAGTGAACCCATGAAAACTGGTCTCTGAAAATTAAATGAACACCTGCCCCCTCTTGCCTTTTTTTAATTTATTTTTTACCTCTTAGGAAGAAGCAGGGAGAAGGACCTAATTTCAACTTCTGCAAGGAATAGCATTTCCTTCCCTTAGATTCTATTTTTAATAAACTGTGCTAGGATGCATCTCCCAGAATTGATGTCTGTCATAGATATTTTCAGTTTTGATCATGGAAGAGTGCTCAAGTATTTGGAAAAATGTTGACACTCTGGTAACAACTTAGTAGAGCAACATACAAGGTACTGAGTGGCAGAGGATGTAGAAAGATTTGCATTTTTTTCCTCTCTTGAAATCATCTTGACTTCTTAGATCAGCATTCCCAGTGCCAGCCAGGGCCAAGATGCCTATGC